GACGGGGGTTGGAGCAGCCGGGGCTGGTGGAAGGGGTCCCTGCCCAGGGCAGGGGGGTGGAACTGGGGGATCTGTAAGGTCCCTTCCAACCCAAACCATTCCATGATTCTATTTGCACCTCGCCAGCTCCCAAAGCCTCACTGAAGCAGCCTCCCAGTCCACACATGTCCTCCTTCACCCTCTCCCGGTTCCTGCTTTACTCCCCTGCTCTTGGTCCCTCTCTCTGTCCCACAGGGCTGCCAGCACTAGCCCCCACAGCCTCTCGGTCCCAGCTCCATCAGCCTCTTCCCCACCCCTCAGCCAAGGCTCCGTCCTCCATCCTCAGCACCGGGGCAGAGAAGCACCATCCTGACAGCTCCTCTGCTCTCCATGGCTTCCAACAGCCCTGAGCTAGCCTGCACCCGAGATCAGCTGCTCCAGCAAAGTCTTCCTAAACCGAGACCTTCTGGGCTGGAACAAATTCCGGCTGTCAGGTGATGTGTGGCAGAAGTCAAACGGACAACACCATGAGAGCTGAGAGTTACACGCTGGTCAGCAAGAACGAAGACCTCACACGTCCCTGCTGCTAACAAGATTCACAGGGGTCCTACCAAGAGTTGAAATCCGAATTCCTTCCCCCCCAGACACGTATTTCAGATTTTCCTAGTGTTGTGTCTTCTGCCATCGTTCACCCAAGGTTAAACGCTGCCAAATTTCAAGCCCTTATGCAGGAAAAAAACCCAGAAAACCATAGCAGTTCAATCTATTCAAAGACAAGATTAGAGTTTGAGTTGCGGGCAAGACGATGCTCTCTCTTCCCAGAAGATTTACATAAACCACTTTTAAATATAATTCTACAAAAACAGAAGCCCAGGGTTCCCCAGATATCTGCCTGTGCTACTGGCTAATTTCTCATTTACAAAAAAGAATAGAAAACTCAAAACAGATACAAATACCTGACCTTGTTTCCAAGAGCATTTATGTCCATCAAGAATTCTTTGTTAAGAGAGCAGAAATATCACCCAAAAATACACCCACAGAAGTACGACCTTCCCGCAGCGTGCTGTTCCAGCTGCCGCACCGCCGTGGATCAGGCGCAGCGGAGCCCGGCCGTTACGGACGCATCCGTGGGCAGATCCGCACTCCCCTGCTCCCAGCCCCGCCGAACGGGGGACGTGACAATCCCCATCGCTCTCGCATCCCCGCACTGAGCCATGGGAGCTCAGCCACGACGGGATCGCCGTCCCCACCGACATCCCCAGGGACATGGGACTCACCAGAATTTGCCGTTTATCCACGCTGAGCCACCAGGCACATCCCAGTGCTGCTCCACTT